CCTGTAATTTTCATCCTCTTGTTTTCGGAATTTCTTACCCCAGCANGGGTGGATCAGGAGGATCCTCGACACGTATACTAGGTGATACATCATCATCAGACTGATGTACGAGGGAGCCCGCACGATGGAGCCCAAGTGATCCGCTTGACGTTACAGTGAAAAATGACTCTGATGCATTTTGCAATTCATTTTTTAATTGTATTCAAGTTGTTACGGGCTCTTTGGGAGTTTATGGTTTTCGTGATAATTGTGAAATTTTGTTTTTGCAGTTTTCCATTTGCATTTTATTTTTAATTTGTTTGTCTGGTGGAGGAACTGAGAGGATAAGTCGTCTCTCATCTGTGTTAATACTCTGTTGGGAAAAATTGACATTTCAGGAACACTTTAGTTGTCACTTTGAGAAGAGCGATTGTTGATTTGATTTGGAGGAGAGGAAATGATGAAGTTTCGAATTTTATTGAAATTTCAATGGGAATTTTTGAGCAGGAGAAGGCAGAATTCCCCGGTTTACGTAAATTGTAATATTAATAATTAATATTAATTTAATTGAAACATTAATATTCGGTACCAAATTACCGAAAAAATTGAAAATTACTCTGAATTTTCAGTTAATCGAAAATTTAAAAATATATGCAGAGCAGCATTTCCAGAGAAATTTCGTTAAAATTCTTGAACTTCCTCGAATTTTTGGCACTTGGTCAAATTTTTCAAGAAGTGCATTAAAAATTTCCACCAAAAATGGTTAAAACTTGATATTCAGAGGAGAAAAAGTCATTCAATCCCTAATTTAATGAAAAATTCAATGAAACTTCGAATTTTTTAGCAACAGCAACACATGAATAGATATTTCACCTGGATTTTCTTGATTTCTATTGAATGAATGGAATTTTGCATTTACCATTGATTTCTTTGTCAAACTGTGAATTTCCAATGTCGAAATTGCTCGATATTCCAGTGGAACTTTCACGTGATCAAAAGTTTCAAGAAGTACACCAGGAATTTCCGTACAAAACGTTTCACAATGTAGAGAAAAAAAATTGAAAAAAAAAATTTCAGATTTCATTAAAAATTTAAGAATAATTTTCCCCGAACTTTCCTGATTTCTGTTAATTTTCGAGAAATAAATGAACCCCAACTGACACCCAATAGAAATGTACAGTTTCCCTTGATTTTTTCATGAAATTGTGAACGTCCAATGACAAAATTCCTTGAAATTTCGATGGAGCTGTCACTTGATAAAAATTGCCAATGCATTCACTGGGAATTTCCACCACCTAATTTATCAAATACATTTTATAAATTTTTGAGGCTTTGTTTCATGAAGCCGCATGACTTCCCATCGAGTTGCCATAGTGCATAAAATATCCTGAATTCACAAATAGAATCAAGAAATCAATGGCTAATCGATGTATCAAAATCCGTTATTTGTACGACATTTTGACTTAACCAGGCAAGTCCTTCGAATTGCCACGGGCCACGTATCTTCACCGTTGAAAGAATTCGTGACCCATTTTCCTTTACGGCGGTTAGCTGCAGTTTTATGAAAGTTTCAAATAAATTGCATTACTCCATTACATCAAAGTACTGGTTCGAGGGGTTGAGTGAGGGAGAGAGGAAGGGCAGTTCAAACCAAAGTTTTTCCTCTGCTGTTGAGATAATGTAATCGGACAGACTCCACTCGTCGTGGAAAATCCTGAGTACTTTCTACGTCGATTGAACAACAATTGAGTTGCCCAAAGGGGATTTTTTTAGTGTTTATTGGGTTTGAAATTGTATCATAATTGAATGTCCAAACTCTTTAGGAGAGAACTTTGTTTTAAATTAATTTCTTCGGGGTGGGGGCTGAGGGGGGCAGAAGAGGTGCGACAGCTACGGAATTTTGAAATTAGATTTTTTTCAAAATTAGACAAAATTAAAATTTCAATAATGAGTCGTTAACATGAAACAACTCAGAGAGATGCTGCATTTGAATCGAATAATACTCTTTATTAATGAATGAATGAGGCTGAAGGAATCGCGGAGGAAATTGTAGAAACCAGTCTGTTTCTGGTGAGATAACACGAGATGGGCGAAATACAGGGAGATACATAACGTGTAGTTATGGATGTTTTGTGCTGTAAAGATAGAAGGTGAGGGGGTTGGTAAGCAAGACGGACAGAGAACGAGTTTACCCTGCACTTCCCACGAGTTCGACTATCGTTGGGTGTATGTATGACTTGAGTGCTCGTTTTAGATAAAACTTACTTTCAAACTTTTTAATTTATCATTTTTTTTTTTCACAAGTTGTGGTGAAATTTCCTCAACGATTTTTCTCGTCATAAATACACAAAATTCTCTAACGGACGGATAAAACGAACAATATTTTCCAATTATATTGAGATAAATTTTTTTTTTTAACTTTTTTGTTGGGCGAAGACACATTTTTTTTAATATCAATAATCCAAGAAAAGTTGCCCATAAAAGAGGGCAGGGTGATGACTTATTGAATTGTTGATGTAATTGAATAATTTATTCTTCAATGGAAAGTACAGTTCCTCCCCTTTGCCATAAACCAAGGCTGAGATCAATTGATAAAGCCGTTTCCGAGTTATGAATATTTCAAAAAAGGCAAAAGTGGCCATTTTACCGCAGCCTACCCTAGTAAAATATTTCACGACTCACACGAGTTTTCAAATTTTTTTTCACGAGTCTGGTGAAATCAATTTCCTCACCGATTTTTCTCGTTATAAATATACAGAATTCTCGAACGGATGGATGAAACGTCTGATATTTCTGTCAATTAGTCTCAGATAAATTCGTTTTTTAAAAATCATCAAAAACAGCAATGTCGAGACCCATTTTTTTAATATCAATAATTTTCCGCCCACTCCGGCCCTATCCAGTTTGAAGATCTAGACCTCTTCATACTGTCCCGCACTCCCCACCCCCGGGTGTACCCAGCCCCCACCCGGCGTCCCCCACCCCCAAAAAATACGGTTATACTGTGACTCAATCCCGTCGAAATTAATCAGTTATGACAGAATGATCCTCCATCAAATAAACGTACCCGGCATTGTTCCAGAATGGAGATGAATACCATCATATATACGCACTCTGCAATCTATACACAGTTGCGACAGTTGATGGTCCTGGAGGGGGGGGGGGGGGGGGGGGGGG